CCCCATTCTGTGGGATACTGTGTGGTACTGTGTGATGTCATGTGGGTAGCCTTGCTGAGGAGGATGTGGTCCAGAAAATTCAGCTCTAGGCTTTTGAAGAGTTACTGCTGCGACTAGAGATGGAAAACCAAATTATCTAGGTTCTCATTGACCGGAAGTTCTGGAGAATGAAGCAAATGCCTTCTAAATGTACAGTTAGTTGCAAGCTCCTAGAGATCAAGAAGAATCACATGCTTCCTATGAAGTGGTGGCCAGGCACTGTACAGGTAGAAAGGATTCACCAAGTGCCCGAACAGAAAAAGCCTTATTGTGCTGGCTGCTGGGGACAATTTGGGGATGTTGATACCTAGAAAATGAAGTTTCTGGGACTAGCAAATGGCATAATGGTTATGTCACTGGACTCCCATGTGGTTGACTGTGGTTTGAGCCTTGGACCCGGCAGCTTAAAACTCAAGCCAGGCACATGTGCGGACATTCCCAAAATCCTAGGAGAGTGGACAAGAAGGGAGTGTGGCATGGCCATTCCCCCTGGGGGGTGGTGATTTCTCATTTTCTGTTTCTCTGTCTCTCCAGCAAGCTCATGCATCCTATAGCAAAATATCTCTCTTGAAGAAAAGGAAGGAAGGAAGGAAGAAAGGAAGGAAAATGAAGTTTCCTTGAACTGGCTTATGAGGAAAGAGATTTGGACCAAGGGTACAGCTAGGGAAAGTGCATCTTGTGTTAGATGTACTACAGGCTCTATGGAGCAGACAGGGCCTGAGCTCTGTTCTTTCCATTCACAAAAATACCCAGGCTCCCTGTGGGCAGTGGAAGATTTCAAAATTTTCATTTTTGTTTCAAAACAACTTTTTTTTGTTTGTTTTCATTTTTTTCCCTTTACCCTTTTCACAGACACTCAACCTGACCATTTAGCAGGAATGCAGATCCAAGGCAACAGACCTTTTGGGCAGCTGCACTCTTTCTCTCCTGTATCTAAAAACATAACTCCCATAGGCAGTATGTTTGACTGACATTGAAGAAGAAATGAAAAAAGGAAGGACAGGACAGGGAAGCAGAAATCTTGTGATTTGTAGTTAACTTGCCATGTCCCTTGGAGCTGAGTTGTGGAACAGGAGTGCTTCTAGAGTTAGTTGGGCCCTAGATTTCTAGTAAGAAGTAGCTCCAGAACATTGAGAAACTATGGACCCAAGCATAGAGTTCCCTCCTACAAATTACTACAGTAAGGGTTTCCTAGGGTCTGAGATATTGAGTAATATCCAACAGGAGTGGTGATAAGTTACCGCTAGATAGGGTGAGCTAATGGCTTATTTCAATAGGCCAGGGCCTCATTCATAGTATTACCTGATTCCCTAATGTGTACCAAAATAGGCATTTGGACAATCCATTATTCAAAACTCTCCTCAGTTAGCTAGGAGAGGGGTTTTGTGGGAATTCCTGGGGATTATACTTAAAGCAGATTTCCGTGTTTGACCTGCCTGTCCTACCTTGTGTAAGTACTGCTACCCCACTTGGCACTGTGCCTGATTCACTGGTGAACAACACACTCCCATTAGGCAGCACTGGCTTTGCCTCTGCCCTTCATGGGATCAGACTACTCTGCCTTCAATTGTGGCTCAATTTCATCAGTTATAAGAACTTGATGAATAGCAAGGCTATGGCTCTCTCTGAGTTAAAATCCTTCCAACATTGTCCCTGTAGGGCAAGCAGCCTGAATTCTGTAGCATTTCAACTGAATAGTAGAGACATAGGATGACTAAAGTCAGCAAGCTCTCCCAGAGTCTGTACCCAAAACACGCAGAACTGTAGTGGGCCCTAAGTACAAGTTTTGGCTGTGTGAATAGGATTATCTACAGCTCAGCTACCCCAACAAGCATGACATTAGAAGCAGTGTTTTTCAGGCTCATTCTTTCCTTATTCTTGTTTTTTACATTCGATCACTGTATATCATTGCAGCGTACCAAATGAATTTTTCCATCATGTATACACTGTATATTAGTCCAGTCAAAGATATTAACACACAAATTATTGTCAACAGATTATTTTCCATCTTTGTGTCCCTTAGATATCTTGCTTCCTTCTTTTTCACCTTGATTGTATTCCTCTAACCCGCCCCCCATTTTCCTCCATCCTCCCACACTGTCTCTAGTATCTGCAGTTGCTCTCCATACCTTCCAATCTTCCAGTTTCTGCCAGAGTGCAGACATTCAGTATATATTGAGTGGGGACATATAATGCCTCTCTTTCATAGTCTAGCTTGCTTTGCTTAGCAGTAAATCTCCATGTTCATCCACTTTTTTTTTTTCTTTTTTAAGAGATTTTTGCTATAGGGCACATGTGGTCAGCAGAGAGACAGAAAGACAGAAAGTGAGCAATCACCCTCCAGGGGGAATGGCCATGCCTCAATCCCTTCTTCTCTTGGGATTTTGGACACACATGCTCATCTGCTGATCATGAGTTTTAAACCACCAGGTCTGCAACTCAAACAGTAGTTGACTACATGGGAATTCAACAACATAACCATTACGCCATCCGTTGGTCCCACCTTCACCCACTTTCTATCAAATGTCAGCATCTCATTGTTTTTTAGGGCTGAGTAGTATTCTGTAGTGTATATGTGCCATACTTTTTCAGTCCATTCATCTGTGCACATTTGGGTTGGTTCCATGTCTTACGATTGTGAGATGTGGAACATGTCTCAATAAACATGGATATGCATGTGTATTTCCAACTGAGCATATCCCTATCCTTTGGGTAGATACTTAGGAGTGGAATTTCTGAATCATATGGTAGCTCTATTTGTAGGTCTTTGAGGAACCTCCATATTGTTTTCCACAGTCTCTTTACTAATTTACATTCCCACCGACAGTATAGGAGAATTCCTTTTTCACCACAACCTTGGCCAGCACTTACCATTGTTTATTTTTTTAATCTTAGCCATTCTGGTTGGAGTTATATGGTTTTGATTTGAATCTCCATTATGATAAGGGAGGTTGAGCATTTTTTCATAATCTTTTTGACTGTTGTATGTCTTCTTTAGGGAGTTGTTTTTTTCTTTTCTTTCTTTTTCTTTTTTTTTGAGACCTTTTTTGCTATAGGGTGTGTGTGCTCGCCAGACAGAGTGGTAGAAAGTGAGAAATCACCCCCCAGGGCGGATGACCATGCCAAATCCCTTCTCCTCCATTCTCCTCTCGGGATCTTGGGCACGCACGCACACGTGCCCGGCGTGAGATTAAGCCACTGGGTCCAGGACTTGAACCATGGTCGACTACATGGGAGTCCAGCGACATAGCCATAATGCTAACTGCTGGTCCCTAGAGAGTTGTTTTTTTCTTATATTTCCCCATCTTATAATTGGGTTGATTTTTTTTTCCTTTTTTTTTTTTGGGAGGGGGGGAACGTATGGGAAGCTGCTTGAGTTCCTCATATATTCTGGTTATCAGTCCCTAAACTGTGGCCTATTTTGCAAATAGTTTCTTCCATTCAGTGGGTTGTCTATTCACTCCAATGATTGTTTCTTTTGCTATACAGAAACTTTTTAACATGATATAATCTCAGTTGTCTATTTTGGGGATTATTGCCTGTGCTCTACAAGCAAAACCATGAAAACCAAACAAAACAATGGAAAGTGACACAAAATAGTGGAGAGACATTCCATGTTCCTGGATTAGAAGAATTAATATAATCAAAATGTCATTTTTATCCAAATTTATCTACATATTTAATGTAATCCCAATCAAATTACCAGAATATTTTTCTCATTTTTAGAAAAAAATAATCATAGAATTTGTCTGGAATCATAAAAGACCCTGTATTGCCAAAGCAATACTATGCGAGTAGAGTGGAGTAGGGGGTATCTCATTCCCTGAGCCCGTCATACAATACAAAGCTGTGATAATCAAAAGAGCATGGTACTGGCATCAAAACAGGCATGTAGACCAATGGAACAGGATAGAACCCCAGAAATAAGCTCCAAAACCTATAGCTAACTGATTTTTTACAAAGGGCACCAGATAATCCAGTGGAGAAAAGAAAATCTCTTCAGGCTCATTTTTTTTTTTTTTTTTTGGGGGGGTTTTTTCACTTTAGGCGCCGGAGCCTTTTTCACTATAGGACGCGTGCGCTCACCAGACAGACAGAGACATAGAGATAGAAAGCGAGAAATCACCCCACAGGGGGGATGGTCACACCGCAGTCCCTTCTCCATTCTCCTCTCGGGATCTTGGGCATGCACACACACGCGCCTGGTGTGAGTTTTAAGCCACCGGGTCCAGGATGCGAACTGCAGTCGACTACGTGGGAGTCCAGCGACATAGCCATTACGCTAACTGCTGGTTCCCTTTAGGCTCATTTTTAAAACATGAATCCTGACTGTCCATAAAGAGTTAAGTATATGAGGCAGATATGGGATTTTGCTGGACTACCTATGAACTTCTTTAGAAGGGAGGGCAGAGGCCAGATCTGAGGGATGAGCAGTATTTTCAATCCAAGATTCTGCCCTCATCTTTGTCTTTTAAGCAGAAGGAAGCCTTAGAGATCTGTGTTTTCATAGCTTCATTGAAATTGGTGGCTACATAAAATGTGTTCAAAGCTGATAGGAGTGCTAAGTCAGGCTAGGAGTTCAGTGCTGAGATTGGATCTCAAGGAGCTGGTCCTGGATTCAAATCTTCCCAGAAGCACTGCAAGCCAGAGAAGTTAGTTCTATCCAAAACTAACTAGTTGAGTGAAATCCCAGAAAGATACGGTCAAAAAGACCAAAGGCAAAACTGGAGTCATATGTAGACTATCTTGAAGCTATAGCAGATAGACAGGCACAAGCAAGGAGGGTCCATTGCAATTGATTGCAATATCTGTTCTTTTTTGGTATTAAAGGTGTGCTTAATCATCTACTAGATAAATGTGGGTAGTAGAAAAATAATATTCTGGACGACTTGACCCAGAATATCCTGAATCATAATTGTTAGTACTCCCGGTTTATTCATGTTGCGTATTTCCTTTGTCAGAGAGAATCTGCTAAACAAGGTACATTGGCCCAAAAGTATGCCGAAGCTATGGCTGTAATTGAACATATGCAGCAGAAGTTAATGTAAGTAAGAGGCACCACGATGGGAAGGGAATAAAGATGTCTGGTCAGGTTTGGCTGAGAAAACTGCATTTTTTTGGCTTGCTTTCTTTCTTTTTAGAAAATAATTATTTATTTAATTTTACTTATTTATTTTTTAATTTGACCAGAGAGAGAGAGAGAGAGGGAAAGTGAGAAAGCAAGCTGCCAGACCCAGGACTCAAACTGTGGTTAGCCATGTGGGAGTCCAGTGCCTTAACCACCTGCTAACCCTGGCTTTCCTTCCTTTATCCTAATTAATCTGAGAGTTTTCTCCAGTCTTCTACTAGAGGCAGTGAACTACACAGCTGTAGTCGGAACATCCACTCTTACCCATGGTGGGAATAGAGGGACGCTATTAGATTAGTTCGTTGCTTCCTATCATTTAAGAGAAGCCAAGATCAGTTCCTGAAAAGAGGTTTGATGGCTATTGATAATGAATTCAAAATACACAAAAGTCAAAGTTTTGTATATGTGTAGTGAGATGTTAGGAATGAGCCAATTTGGTGTGTTTTTAAAAGATGACTTAGGGAAATAAATGGAACTGGTAGAAACTATTGTGCTTGAGAAAGAATGTTACATAATCCAAACAGTAGGCAGGGCAATGTAGTTAAGGTGGTTGAGGACAATAAGAGTTTAGCTAAACAGACATATAACATATGCTCTAGTAATAAGGAAGCACATTTCAAACTGGTTTTCTTGATGATAAAATCTAGTTTTAGAAGTGCTAGGAAAGAAGGAACACTGTTAGATTAGTTTGTTGTATCACATCAATTAAGAGAAGCCAAAATCGATTCCTGAAAGGAGGTTCCTTTGCTATTGATGCAGAATTCAAAATACACAAAAGTCAGATTTCATTAAGAAATGATAACCACTTATTTATTTATTTTTTAAAGATTTTTGCCATAGGGCATGTGTGTTTGCCAGAAAAAGAGACACAGAAACAGGGAAAGTAAGAAATCATCCTTCAGTGAGGATGGCCACACCAAAATCCCTTGTCCACCATTCTCTTCTTGGGATTTTTGGGCATGTACACACAAATGCCTGGTGTTTTTTTTTTTTTT